GGGGGGGGGGGGGGGGCAGTGCTGGGTACTGGGGTAGACATCTGGCTCTGGCAAGCTGCCAGTCAGCTGTTGGCAGGGCCAACTGGGGCTCTAACCCCTTGGCTTTGCCCCCTGCAGCAGGTGACAGGAACAGTGTGGGCAGCGAGGGCAGCGTGGGCAGCACCCGCAGTGCCGGCAGTGGACAGAGTTCCGAGGGCACCAACGGCCACAGCACCGGCCTCCTTATTGAGAATGCCCAGGTGGGGGGCGGGGAGGCGTTGGTTGGGACCAGGGCTGGGCCCCCCACACCCACTGCCAGTTCCCCAAGTGAGAGTCAGCTCCTTCCCTGTCTCCAGCCACTGCCCTCTGCTGGAGAGGACCAGGTGCCGCCAGGACTGCACCCCCCGTCCCTGGCAGGTAGGAAGGGAGACTGGGACCTGGGTGCGCTAGGAGAGGTACAGGTGGGGAGGCTGAGGGCTTGGCACCCCTTCGTCCTGCCACCCTGATTCCATTTCTCTCCCTCCTTGAAGACAACCCAAACCACCGCCCTCTAGCCAACTACCGCTCCGGGGAGCAGCTCTTCACCCAGGACGTGAGGCCGGAGCAGCTGCTGGAGGGGAAGGTGTGACCTGCACTGGGGAATGGGCTGCGGGTAGGGGTTGGGATGGGCCTCAGTGTGGACTTAAGTCCCTTCTCAGACCAGGCCCCTGGGGAGGCTGGGGTCAGTGGCGGGTCTGTGGCCTTGGCACCCCGCCCCCTGCCCCAGCAGAAGCAGCTCCATTAACTTCACCCCTCCCCCCACACCACAGGATGCTCAGGCCATTCATAACTGGCTCAGCGAGTTCCAGCTGGAGGGCTACACTGCCCACTTTCTGCAGGCTGGCTATGACGTGCCAACTATCAGCCGCATGACACCCGAGGTAGGTGCTGCAGCGGGAGGGCAGTGCAGGAACCAGTGGGCAGAGGAGGGGCCTGATGGCCTGACTCCGTGTGGCAGGACCTGACGGCCATCGGGGTGACCCAGCCCGGGCACAGGAAGAAGATCGCCTCAGAGATCGCCCAGCTCAGCATCGCCGAGTGGCTGCCCAGCTACACCCCGGTGCGTGCGCGACGGGCACGGGCTCCCACCTTCAGCTGCGGCTTTGCGCTGCCTTCCTGGCTTGGGGGCCGACAGTGCTGCTTTTGCAGGCAGACCTGCTGGAGTGGCTGTGCGCGCTGGGGCTGCCGCAGTACCACAAGCAGCTGGTGAGCAGCGGCTACGATTCCATGGGGCTGGTGGCGGACCTCACTTGGGAGGAGCTGCAGGAGATCGGGGTCAACAAGCTCGGTGAGGACTGCCCTGGGCCTTCTGGCTGGGCCCCCGCGTGCCTTGGAGGGTCTCCAAAATGTTTCGGGGGTCCAGGAGGGATGCGGGTGACCCTTTGACCCTTCTGCCTCTATCCGCCCCGCTCAGGTCATCAGAAGAAGCTCATGCTGGGGGTGAAGCGGCTGGCTGAGCTTCGGCGGGGCCTGCTGCAGGGGGAGGCCCCAGGCGACGGTGGCCGCCGGCTAGCCAGGGGCCCGGAGCTGATGGCCATCGAGGGGCTGGAGAATGGGGACAGTCCGGCTGTGGCTGGCCCGCGCCTCCTCACCTTCCAGGGCAGCGAGCTGAGCCCAGAGCTACAGGCGGCCATGGCAGGGGGTGGCCCTGAGCCGCTCCCCCTGCCCCCTGCCCGCTCCCCCAGCCAGGAGAGCATCGGGGCACGCTCGCGGGGCTCTGGGCACTCGCAGGAACAGCCTGCCTCCCAGCCCAGTGGCGGAGACCCCAACACCCCACAGGAGAGGAATCTTCCAGAGGGCACGGAGCGGCCCCCTAAGCTTTGTTGCCCACTTCCTGGCCAAGGGGCCCCCCCTTATGTTTTTATGTACCCCCAGGGCTCGCCCTCCAGCCCAGCCCCAGGGCCGCCTCCTGGCGCACCCCGGGCCTTCTCCTACTTGGCCGGGCCCCTGGCCACTCCTCCAGACCCGCCTCGGCCCAAGCGCCGGTCCCACAGCCTGAGCCGCCCCAGCCCGGCCGAGGGGGAAGCCGAGGGGGAGGCCGAAGGGCCAGTGGATAGTGCCTTGGGCAGTTATGCCACCCTCACTCGGCGACCAGGACGCAGCGCCCTCGCCCGGACCAGCCCCAGCCCGACCCCAACCCGAGGGGCGCCCCGCAGCCAGTCCTTCGCCCTGCGGGCCCGCCGCAAAGGCCCCCCGCCCCCGCCCCCCAAGCGCCTCAGCTCCGTCTCCGGCCCCACCCTGGAGCCGCCGCCGCCGCCGCCGCCAGATGGAAGCCCGGCACCCAAGGAGGGGGCCCCGGGGCCCCGGAGGCGAACACTCAGTGAACCCACGGGCCCCTCGGAGCCCCCCGGCCTGCCCGCCCCGGCTGGCGCCGCATCGGACACGGAGGAGGAGGACCCAGGGCCCGAGGGGACACCGCCGTCTCGGGGCAGCTCAGGGGAGGGGCTCCCGTTCGCGGAGGAGGGGAACCTCACGATCAAACAGAGGCCCAAGCCGGCGGGCCCCCCACCCCGGGAGACGCCTGTGCCTGCTGGCCTCGACTTCAACCTCACAGAGTCAGACACTGTTAAGCGGAGGCCCAAATGCCGGGAGAGGGAGCCACTGCAGACGGCACTCCTGGCCTTCGGGGTCGCCGGCTCCACGCCCGGCCCCGCTGCCGCCCTGTCCCCGCAGACCCCCGGCGAGTCCCCCTCGGCCTCTGCCAGCCCTCCCCAGCCTGACCCTAGCAGCCTCCCAAACCCTGGAGCTCCAGCCCCTCTCTCTCCCAGCCCCCCGACCCAGCCCCCCGTGGCTCCCTGCCCGGGGCCGGCTCTGGAAAACAGTCGGCGTCCCGGGGAGATGGAGCCCCCGGCTCCCCCTGCTGCCCTTCTCAAGGTGCCCGGAGCAGGTATGAGGCGGGACCTGCGGGGAGAGGGTGGTGTTGGCAGGGCTCGTGCCCAGCCCAGCTGAGTCACAAGCCAACCTCTTTGTCTCTGCAGGAACAGCCCCCAAGCCTGTGTCTGTGGCCTGCACCCAGCTGGCATTTTCTGGCCCTAAGCTGGCTCCCCGGCTCGGCCCCCGCCCTGTGCCCCCTCCAAGGCCAGAGAACACTGGGGCCACGGGCCCAGGCCGGGCCCAGCAGAGACTGGAGCAGACCAGCTCATCCCTGGCAGCTGCCTTGCGGGCCGCGGAGAAGAGCATTGGTGCTGAGGAGCGAGAGGGGTGAGGGGTGCTGGGTGCTTCGGAGGGGAGAAGGCGGCAGAAGAGCAGCTCCGCCCGAATCCTGAAGCCTTTTCCCAGGGTTCCGGGAATGATGGGAGGGGGATGTCACCGTCACGTTGGGCAGATCCTCAGGCTGGGGGGCCCCTATTGGGATGGGAGGAGCCTGGGCCTGGGGTCACCCGGATCTGACCTGCAGGGAATCCTGGTGGCCGCCACTTAGAGGCACGTGAGCTTGGGCGAGGCACTCCTCCCTGTGAGCCCCAGCGCCTCTGTGCAAGGAAGGGAGCGGTAACTCCTACTGCCTCGGGGAGTTGTGAGAATTAGGAGAAGATGCGCAGAGTGCGCGCACCAGCCACGCTCTCAGTAGCAGCCCCCTTGCCCAGGGCCGGCAGGGTGCAGACCGCTGGCTGATCTGACCTGGTCCTTCCCCTGCTGCAGCCCCCCGGGCACCTCCACCAAGCACATCCTGGATGACATCAGCACCATGTTCGACGCCCTGGCTAACCAGCTGGATGCCATGCTGGATTGAGCTGGACCTGCTGGCAGCTCGCAGCAGTGCCCACCGTGACCTTCCTCAGCCACTGCCTTTCCCCCGGCACGGACGCCGGCCCTGCCGCCCTAGCGGGGTCCCTCCTGCTGCTCCAAGCCAGCGGCTCTTGGGACTAGGGCTCTGGGAGGCAGCCCCCAGGGGAGCTGAGGGGACTCGTCAGAACCTGACACCTCAGCAGAGCCCCCTCCCAAGTGTGTAACCTGACGGGACGGCCCTGCCTTTTGGACAGGGGCCCTGGTGGGAGCTTCCTCTCCAGGAAGAAAGAGGTGGTGGCCGGGCTTCTGGGGTACCTCCTCTGTCCCCACAGTGTCTCAAGCCCCTGTGCCAAGGCCCTCTGGCCACCCACTGTGCTGTCCTGGCGCCGAGAGGCTGGAGGAGGCCGTGTGTCTGGCCTGGTCCCCCCGCAGGTGTTCACAGGACATGTAAACAAGCGGCCAGGCCAGTCTCCGCCGCCGCCCCTGCCTGCCCTCAGTGAGGCAAAGCTGGCGGGGGTGGGAGCAGTGGGATTCACAGGTCCCCCAAAGTCCAGACTTTCCCAACTGTAAATGTTATTTTTTAAGCAGAGAGAAATGCATATATTTTAAATGGAATTTATTCTATCTATAACTGCCTGAGAGGACGCAGTGGGGGAGGGGCTTCGGACCACAGCAAGAGCACCCACCGCCCGCCTTGGGGCTGGAAGCCTGACCTGGTCGGCCCAGGCCCCGGCTCTGTAACCATTAACCTCTTCCCCCAACTAACACCAATGAAAGTGTCATTCCACGTGATCGGGGTGTGTGTTTGGATCTGCGCCACGGACCTCTGAGCCAGGGGTCGCGCCTGAGCCGGACCCGAGCGCTCCCTCTGATGTGCAAGGAGGAAGGCTTGGGCCCTCCCCTCCTCACCTTTGCGGAGAGGCTCCATCACTGGCCGAAGCCCTGGGTAGGTCCGTTAGTGGCTGCCTCATGGACCAGCCACAGGTTTTTCTTCAGGAATTTATCAGTTTTAATACAAACCAGTCTGTATTCATTTCTAAAAGGCTCATTTCCAGTAAAAAATAATCCACCAGTGAAAACATTCTCACAGGATAACTAGGGCCGGGGCTGAAAGGAGCCCTGGGCTGTACCCCAGGACTGGCTCTCTCCGCCAGCTTGAGGGCAGGCACAGGAGGAGGTTCCAGGGCCAGGCGGGGGCTCTGCTGCATCTTCAGGTCTCTGTGTGAGGCTCCCCCACAGAGGAAGGGAGGGAAAGTACTCAGGGCCAAATCCAGGCCCCTGCCCCAGGAATATAGGATGAGAGGGGCACAGGGAGGATGAACCACCACCCCTGCCTTCAGCAGTGGCCTAGAGAGCTGTTCGGACCTCCCACGGCTGCTCTCCCACAAAAGGTGGAAGCTCAGCCCCATGGCTCATGGCTCTGCCTGAAAACCCAAGAGCAGAGGGTGCTGCGTTCGGTGACCCTGAAGGGGGGCGGCCCACAGGTGGAGGGGGCTGAGGGCCCCTCTTTTAAGCACACGAGGTCATACATTCAAGAGTCCAGGGGTGCTCCCCCTGGTGAGGAAGAGCCAGACTGTCCTGACGCCAAGGCCACAGCTCAGCATCTCTTCAGTAATTCCCCGGGGGCAGGGCGACAGCTGGGTCTGACACCGGGAGTTGGGCCTCCAACGCCATAGGGCACAAGAGCAAACCCTGAAACATTCATGATATCAACTCCCCAGACTCAGAAATGGGTCTTGCTTTAGCCCTAGGGTCCAGGGCAACTACGACCACCACGGCCAGCGGCTCAGAAGGGAGAGTTCATGCCCAGCTTAGTTTCAAACTGCAGTTTCTGTCGCTTCTGGTAGCGGACCCGGACCCTGGTAGGGCGGGAGATTAAAGTCCAGGTTAGCGCAGACCTCCAGACCAGGGGACGGGCAGGACACCTGAGGAGGAGGGCGGGACGGCAGTGGGAAGGCAGGGGAACGGTGCCCCAGGAGGTGACGGGCTTAGGGAACACACCCAGGCCCAGAGGGGGCACCCAGCCGGTGGCTCACCGAATCTCGTGCAGCTTCACAATCTCGTTGGTGACCACCACGAGGACCAGGGAGAGGCAGCCCAGGAGCCACGTCAGCAGAGGCACGTCCTCCAGGCCAAAGTGGACGTGGCTGTCCCTGTGTGTCCACAGCTGCAGGTCCACTGCTGTCTGGACCACCTGCCCCAGCAACCTGCGGGAGGTGGCAGCCCTGCGTCAGCGGGGTCTCTTGCTTCCTTCCCTGCTTTTCTCAGCA